AGTCCTAAAATACATATTTATGATATTATATTAAATAGTGTAAATACATATATATGATTATTTATAACTTTTTCAAGTTTTCTTATATTATTATAATTGGTAACATAGCTAGGATCCATAATTCTAGATGTTAATAACGATCTTAATCCTTGATGGCTTGGGTCCATCAACTGACCATATTGGTAGTGAGTATATAGTCAACAATTATCATTAATAATCTTTATTCTTTGTCGGATAATAATTAAAAGAGAATATATTTCATAACATAAATGTCTGTCACTTACTTGATCCTGTGGCGATTAAACAAGTGAGATTGTCCAAGCTGTGTACTTTGTAAGTTTATAAGGAAGTGCAGATCCAAGATTTGTCACATATTCCCTAGCAACCACCAACATGGCAAATGCGCAAATTCAAGGGAAGTTTCTCCGGAACAAGTTTGGTAGACAGAACATCGCCTTATATATATATATAAACTCTAACCGAGAAAGTTTTATATCTCTAAATCTATACATCTTAGACCAAAACTGTTGAGTAAACATATATTCAAGTTACCCTTATATATTAATGCATTCCTTACATTTAGATTTTTTGAACATCTATTCAGTGCATTCAATTTACCCGATGTTTGAACACAAATATAATTCCGAGTTATCCATGTTTTAATTCACTTTTGGTCTGAAATATAAATATCCGGTTAGGTTTTTAAATATTACCATGCATGACAACCAGTATCAAACACCTCGGACCTCATATCGATATAGAACAACGATGCTAATAATTATAAAAAAGCAGAAGTAACTGTTACCTTATATCTCTTACAACCATTGTTGTAACTTCTCCTCAGTCACTGTTACCTCACATCTCTTACAACCATTGTTGTAACTTCTCCTCAGTCACTGTTACCTCACATCTCTTACAACCATTGTTGTAACTTCTCCTCAGTCACTATATCTTACATCTCTCACAACCATTGTTGTAACTTCTCCTCAGTCACTGTTACCTTACATCTCTCACAACCATTGTTGTAACTTCTCCTCAGTCATCTCTCCCAACCATTGTTGTAACTTCTCCGTAGTCACTGTTACCTCACATCTCTCACAACCATTGTTGTAACTTCTCCTCAGTCACTATTATCTTACATCTCTCACATCCATTGTTGTAACATCTCCTCAGTCACTGTTACCTTACATCTCTTACAACCATTGTTGTAACTTCTCCTCATAGTCACTCTCTCATTGTTGTAACTTCTCCATAGTCACTATTATCTTACATCTCTCACAACCATTGTTGTAACTTCTCCTCAGTCACTGTTACCTTACATCTCTTACAACCATTGTTGTAACTTCTCCGTAGTCACTGTTACCTTACATCTCTTACAACCATTGTTGTAACTTCTCCTCAGTCACTATATCTTACATCTCTCACAACCATTATTGTAACATCTCCTCAGTCGCTATATTTTACATCTCTCACAACCATTGTTGTAACATCTCCTCAGTCGCTATATTTTACATCTCTCACAACCATTGTTGTAACTTCTCCTCAGTCACTGTTATCTTACATCTCTCACAACCATTGTTGTAACTTCTCCTCAGTCACTATATCTTACATCTCTCACAACCATTGTTGTAACTTCTCCGTAGTCACTATTATCTTACACCTCTCACAACCATTGTTGTAACTTCTCCATAGTCACTATATCTTACATCTCTCACAACCATTGTTGTAACTTCTCCTCAGTAGTCACTATATCTTACATCTCTCACAACCATTGTTGTAACATCTCCTCAGTCACTATATCTTACATCTCTCACAACCATTGTTGTAACATCTCCTCAGTCGCTATATTTTACATCTCTCACAACCATTGTTGTAACTTCTCCTTAGTCACTGTTACCTTACATCTCTCACAACCATTGTTGTAACTTCTCCTCCGTCACTATATCTTACATCTCTCACATCCATTGTTGTAACTTCTCCTCAGTCACTATTATCTTACATCTCTCACAACCATTGTTGTAACTTCTCTGTAGTCGCTATATTTTACATCTCTCACAACCATTGTTGTAACATCTCCTCAGTCGCTATATTTTACATCTCTCACAACCATTGTTGTAACTTCTCCTCAGTCACTGTTATCTTACATCTCTCACAACCATTGTTGTAACTTCTCCTCAGTCACTGTTATCTTACATCTCTCACAACCATTGTTGTAACATCTCCGTAGTCACTATTATCTTACACCTCTCACAACCATTGTTGTAACTTCTCCATAGTCACTATATCTTACATCTCTCACAACCATTGTTGTAACTTCTCCGTAGTCACTGTTACCTTACATCTCTTACAACCATTGTTGTAACTTCTCCTCAGTCACTATATCTTACATCTCTCACAACCATTGTTGTAACATCTCCTCAGTCGCTATATTTTACATCTCTCACAACCATTGTTGTAACTTCTCCATAGTCACTATATCTTACATCTCTCACAACCATTGTTGTAACTTCTCCTTAGTCACTGTTACCTTACATCTCTCACAACCATTGTTGTAACTTCTCCTCCGTCACTATATCTTACATCTCTCACATCCATTGTTGTAACTTCTCCTCAGTCACTATTATCTTACATCTCTCACAACCATTGTTGTAACTTCTCTGTAGTCACTATATCTTACATTTCTCACAACCATTGTTGTAACTTCTCCGCAGGTACTATTTTCTTACACCTCTCACAACTATCGTCTTGTTTATCTTTTCATATAGAGATGTTTCATCACTTGGTTGGTTATAAAAATGATAAAATTTTGTATGATTAGTAAGAACGAAAAAAGACCTTGAACTTCCCATGAAGGACTAGAGAGGCGGCATGTTTAAATGAAATATCCTCCAGTGATAGATCGTTTTTGACTTATCAAATATATAACTCCTGAACAAAGTCCTCCTCCCGCATCACCATAACATTGTAATTTGTGAATATGGTAACATCACAAAAGACAAACATAACGTCTGAATTACTGCATTGTAGGTATATTGTGATATATCAAAGTTGACTGATAAAAGAGCCACCTGGTATGAATCCCGATTGGTGTTTAATCATTTCATTTTTTTTACAGAAACACGAGGTAACTGATATCAGCATATTTTCCCGTCGCTTTGTATATTGTAATTTTCTGTGACTTATTTCCAATCACCTGCCGTAAAACCCATTTCAGTTGTTTATTTATCAATAAAGTTGTGAGTGAATTCAATCTTTTAGATAATTTATGCAACTTAAGTAATAAACACCTGCTCCAGGCCGTTTATTTTTTTTATAGATTAGAGTATGTTACCAGACGAAGTTATTTTAGTGGTAAAGTAGTAATCAGTGAGCAGCACTTCTCCTTGTAGGTGTATCCTAACAAAAATCTATTACCTTGAATCTTCATTTCAGTCCAAATGCCAAGGTCAGCTTCTTTCATCGTTGTTTATCTCAGTTAATAGAAACTGCTGCTTGACGTTTTGTTCCCGAAGTTTGCCGCAACCTACATGACACGTTTTAATTTGATTGATAGGTACTTGACGTTCTTTGGAAATTTCTGTCGTGTTCTGGGTTTCAGGGTTATGACCCTTGGCGTCGCTGGCTGGTCTGTTGGGTGGGTGGAGAGGAGAAACAGCGGTATGAAGCAGTTAAATTCATTATTTGGCTCTACTCTATCTAATTCTAAATTCGTATTTAAAAGTTTTATGTACTTGTATGTTTTTGTACAATTACAGCATTCATCACTTACAAATACTTATTATAGTTTATGACGCCCGTCCCATCTCGCGGCCTACCTTCCTTGACCTTAACCCTGATGTGTTGATATACGATTCAGGAATTATATTAGCCATGCTAGAATTAAGTTTGATTTCTCTGTATGTTGACTGGAACAATTCCTTAGGTATCAAATCCTCTAGAACATGGACACATCACAGGTTGGGTGAACGGTAACTAACTACAAATGGAAAATACTACAGGAAAATAAAAATTGACATGCTTTAGTATACAAGTTTGGGGAAAGCTGTCCCTGTTGGTGATAAAAAGATCGATGTAAGCGACTGATATATACAGAACAGTCCATCGTATCCTTGACTTACAATTTTATCATATATAATCAATGCTTGTACAAAACGCACACAAGTGAAGGCACCTTTCAACACAAATTAAGAGTATAATCAAATAATAAGATAGACTGTATCAGGCATCTGGTTTGTCCTTCTAGGACTCGTCTATCACTATCATTGCTGATTGGGTTAGGATTACTATTTAGTGTGTAAGGGAACATTCTCTAAGTTTGCTCATTCCGAACTGTGTCACATATCGTCTTATTCATTGGCACACCAGTATCCGAATTATGTGAAACCACATGTGAATACACAGTGTATATGATATTCAGAAGCATGTGTTATTAGATTGGTTTTAGAATAACTTTCACAATTTAATTGATATATAATTGATTATGAAAATAAAACATAATTAGACAATGAAATGGTTAATGAATAACTGCATTGATAGTAAATACTATATAGATTTTCTGAAAGCATTATCAATATGTTTATGAATCAAGGGAGATAAATCCAGCTCCATTGGGCGATTTACTAAACTCGGCAGTGTGGAAAATTCTTAATCTTGACAATTGTGGCCTGACTATTGGGGTTCACTGCACTTTAATATGATTTCTTCATTTAGGAATAAAGAATAACTACCATGTTATCGCACACGATTACAGATAAAATGACCTTCACCACACGACCACAGATAAAAATGACCATAGATTCATGTTATTCCATTACATGATCAAGTATGTAATGTATTCATAAGGACGATCTATTGTTTGAATTTGTCGAATTCCAATGCATTACGGGAATCGCTTGTCTCTTTAAAGTCGGTCGCTACCCACCATATGACGAGAGACACGAAAATAGTTGTACCCACGACCAAGAAATAGCATACACAGCTGACAGATCAGAGAACTAATAATGGCTACAAAGTTCCGATCATGTAAGTACTCAAATTATATACTTACACAGAGAAATGAAAAAAAGTTTTTTCCGTGCCCCATATCCTTTAGATTTTACTTCTGTTTCCATTTAATGTTTGGTTCATCTTGATATTAAACAACCGGTTATGTTTTTTGTCTTTGCGTTTGTATATTATGTCATATATAATGTACCTAATCAGTCTGTACGGTAATGATGACAAATACAGAATATGACACGTAAGCATTTGTGTTTACCAATATCTTTCATAACGATGGTGAAACTAAGGCTTCACATTTCACTAGTTTTGTTATTTCGTCAGTATAGGTGTTATTGCTGATCTGTTCTAACCAAGATCGATCAGAAATATTAATGCTGCTTATTCTTTATCGAGCTAGTATTGAGTTCAATTGAGGTTGATTGATGACTTTTCCTAATTTGTTTTATTGATTGCTCATTGAAAAATGTTAGCCCAAACGGAAAGCGTTACCAAGAACCGAAATGCTAAATGACCCTATTCCTCTCTATATGTATTCACACATTTTCTCCGTGCGGTTGAGGTAGGTTCGAGTTTCTGTAATGTCTCCTATGCGCTGTTTATTGTCGCAATGCAATATAAGGAGAGATTATGATATCAAACAATTATAATAATGATGATCATACATTATGGGAAAATAGCGATGTTGGTAAGTAAATATGATGAAAGAGAAAGACTTTTACGTTAGTATCCACAACTGTTTAACACTATATTAAGTACTGATGGTCAACAGTGATTAGAGATTCTCATTACGGATTCTTAGACAAAGAAAAAAGAAAGTGAAATTACACAGCAATCTTAACACGAAGTAATGTCAGAATGTACTGATCTTGAATAATTTAAAAGGTAGCTTTGACATCTCCAACATTCAGACTGTAGCAGAAATTTCGAGCGATGTCGAGTTTCTGAGGGGATGTTGATGTATCATCAGCTAAGTTATAGTTATCGTCGATTTTCTGATACTGTGTTGGGGTAACGCTATTCGCTGAGAAAAGTTGAGTTCCTTAGGGTATGTTTGGTTATCAATGCCGAGTCTCTAAGAGAATGTTTGGATGTCGTTATTTTTCGAACAATGTCTAGTTTCTCAGGTCGTGTTGGGATGTCCTTATTTGTCGGACAATGTCGAGTTTCTGAGAATGTTTTGGTGTTTCGTTTCTGTCGAATGATGTTGAGATTCTGAGAATGTGTTGATGATTTGTTTTGTCGAACAATATAAATCATTTAAGTCTTGTTGGGGTATTGTTAGCTGACTGGTTTAAGTCGGTTTTGTGTACCGATATAAGCAAACATCAGCTCAATGTAAAATGCAAGGTTTCGCTGCTAGGCATGTACGTATATATACGAATGTGATAATTTGTCTAGTGTCTCATAGTGAGATGTGTATTTTATGACTGCCATAAATGTCCTTTGTAACGAGTAAATAGTAAACACCTTTGGTTAGTAAACCTGGTACCTAGTGCGTCGATTGTTTCACTCTCAAATATTTATGGGAGTACTTGTTTACAGTGAAATGGAAGTGACTATCAAAGATTCCCATCAGTCAGCTGATGTGTTTGTGATAAACAATGAATAATATGTATTTAAATTGGTTAGTTTAGGGTTGATTTATACATGATTTGTCACTTTTGACACGTTAAAGTGTCATTTTCAACTTTATCTTGGGGAACAAACACTTCTAGGTCATTTGTTAAGATCTTACATCAGAATATTTCACTATCTACTTGTCTTCATTGCTTCTTCACTGTCTTCACTTAATTTCTATTCGGTGTTTCCTTTCTCTTCTTCTTGAATATATATTTACATAAAATCAAATTCAACAAAACTCTTTTTTTTCTATCGAAGAATACTTCAATGGTCATCACAATTATAGAAAATTGAAAATACGCATTTCCGTCATAGCTACAAACCTAACATTCGAAATCTTCGTAAATGACAAGATAATAATGTTTTATTAGGGACCTCTTTAAAGACTAGAAAGTGAAAAATCCCTTTCTATTGAACATTTTTCTTTTTACTAGAAGTGAAGATCAGAAAGTGAAAAATCCCTTTCCATTGAACATTTTTCTTTTTACTAGAAGTGAAGATAAGAAAATAAAGAATCCTTTTGTATTGAACATTTTTCTTCCTCCCTGTCGTGAAGATCAGAAAGTGAAAAATCCCTTTCTATTGAACATTTTACTTCTTCCCTGTCGTGAGGATCGGAAAGTGAAAAATCCCTTTCTATTGAACATTTTACTTCTTCCCTGTCGTGAGGATCGGAAGGTGAAGAATCCCTTTGTATTTAACATTTTACTTCCTCCCAGTCGTGAAGATCAGAAAGTGAAGAATCCCTTTGTATTTAACATTTTACTTCTTCCCAGTCGTGAAGATCAGAAAGTGAAGAATCCCTTTGTATTTAACATTTTACTTCTTCCCAGTCGTGAAGATCAGAAAGTGAAGTATCCCTTTCTATTGAACATTTTTCTTCCTCCCAGTCGTGAAGATTAGAAAGTGAAAAATCCCTTTCTATTGAACATTTTACTTCCTCCCAGTCGTGAAGATCAGAAAGTGAAGAATCCCTTTGTATTTAACATTTTACTTCTTCCCAGTCGTGAAGATCAGAAAGTGAAGAATCCCTTTGTATTTAACATTTTTCTTCCTCCCAGTCGTGAAGATCAGAAAGTGAAGAATCCCTTTGTATTTAACATTTTTCTTCCTCCCAGTCGTGCAGATCAGAAAGTGAAGAATCCCTTTCTATTGAACATTTTTCTTCCTCCCAGTCGTGAAGATCAGAAAGTGAAGAATTCCTTTCTATTGAACATTTTTCTTCCTCCCAGTCGTGAAGATCAGAAAGTGAAGAATCCCTTTCTATTGAACATTTTTCTTCCTCCCAGTCGTGAAGATCAGAAAGTGAAGAATCCCTTTCTATTGAACATTTTTCTTCCTCCCAGTCGTGAAGATCAGAAAGTGAAGAATCCCTTTGTATTTAACATTTTTCTTCTTCCCTGTCGTGAAGATCAGAAAGAGAAGAATTCTTTCTATTGACCTGAGCTGTTCAATGCAAGCAAACTGCCCTAATGCGTCAGTTGATATGTCTTTTAACCTTGCAACATCCACCGTCAAATAAGTGTAGTCTTAGGATACTTAAGTCTATTGCGATAATAAGATCATATCAAATCAATAATTACAGAGCAGATTTCGAGCAAAAGAAAAAACCACCTTAAATAAAAACAAAAACCAATTATTTAAGGAAAATTCGGAATTGTTCTGTTTTTTCAAGCACTCAACTAATTATTACTAATACCTCCTATGTATCCACCGTCTCCTTGGAAATAAGGATTTCTCGCTGGTCGGATAAGATAGACAAAAGTACCGAGACTCTAACGAGCTACACTATGATCTTTCTGTTCCGGGCCAAATTGCAGTTTATTTTTTTTTTTAACAAAATGGCAGCGCTAGTTTTACATGAATACCTAGTATCACAAATTTCACGTTTGAATTATTTTATGTACGGACAATGTGTTTGATATAAGTAATTTCATATCTTTATTACACATTGTATATACAACTTTTATTTTGTTTGTTTCAGATAGTGTACCTGCATTGGAGAGGCCAAATACGATACCAGGGAAAGAAATTAATTCCAAGTGGGAAGGTTCCGTAAAAACACGGTTTTCTTCAGCTTTAGATAGAATTTTCAAAAGGAAATGTTCAATTTGTTACCCTTTGTCAGGTATCAATACTGAAATTGCAAAAATTGATGAAGGCGCAGGAGGGGAGGTGTGTACGGATGATAGCAGTGAATCGGACAGTATCTTGGACAGTGAAGAAATGTCGTTATGGAACTTTGCGGAAGGACAAACAGATCTTCAGTTCGCGTTTGATAATCAGCTTTATTTAGACAATCTAGAGCCGGAAGTGATTTTGAAATTTTCTTGCATTAAAAAGACTCGTTGCCTTAGTGACGCAAGCGACGTCCTGTATATTGGCAGTGGTAAGAGTGTTGTTGTCGATATGGCTGGAAATCGTGTGCTACAGTTCAACAAACGTGGAAAGTCATCATTTACGTATAAAACAGGTCATATGGTTGAGCCTTGGGCTGTAGCAGTCAACTCAGAAGACATCATTCACGTGACTTCAAGGAAAGGTAGATGTATTACGCGGTTTTATCAAAATAGAGAAATAAAAAAGCCCATCAAAAACATACATTTTAACGCACCCTCTGGCATCGCTTTTGGTAAAGATGATCAGTTTTTTGTAACTGATGTAGGATCGAATCTGCTTACAGCTCACGAACCAGACGGTGCGTTAATCTCCACTATCGGCAACAGCAGATCACCAACACAAGACCTGGTTCGCCCTAGATACGTCACGGTCGCCCCTAACAATAATATTATTGTTTGCGATTCGGGAAATCATTCTCTGAAAGCGTTTGATTCGGAAGGTAATTTTGTACAAAAAATAGGTGAGCGCGGGAAAGGCGAGGGACAACTTAAATGCCCGTATGGTGTATGTACGGATTTCTCTGGCAATATCATTGTTGCCGATCATTACAACAATCGAGTGTCTTTCTTTTCCAAGTCAGGACAGTATATACGTCAACTTGTTACGTCAGTAGACGGTGTGACACTTCCACAAGGTGTGTGTTTAACGTCTAACCATAGATTACTCGTTACACATGGAGGACTCAAGGCAAACGAAGTTCTGCTGTATGATCTTAGAAACAACCAGTTGGATAACACATCTCCAGATAGAATTTTTCTAGTCTGACGATATTACACTCAATTTTTTTTCAATTTTTCCATTTTTGTTTTAATTTCTCGATTAAGGTGCCGTTTTTAAATCATATGTATATCTATATACCACCGGCAACAAAAAAGATTATTGTCAAATCAATATAAATCAAACGAAGAAAAACTGTAGTAAAAGTTGATGAAATAGATTCTGGAATATTACGCTAGCCATATTCTAAGCGCCATTTAAGGATATGAAGCAGTAGATATTTCCAAAGCATACTTCTCCTGTCTTTACAATCACAGAAATTTTAACTTTAATTCTGATTATAATTTAACGATACGTCAATCAAAACTATTAGTACATATCCGGAGATAAAATAAATTACTCTTATTATTTAAGGAAATAAAATTTGATATCCCGAAATATCTCGTCTATTATGTGTTTATGTGTCCAGTATTTTACTCTTAAGATATGCTGATATATCAATGCCCACAAGCAGAAAAAAATCATAGTACTCATCCTGCAGTGTACAGCTAAATCATTTGTATGGCTGGGGAATTCTTTGACTAGCACTACTTTCATTTTTAATTGTGTTACATACGTTACTGCTAATAAAATAAATATTGTTGTTCTTTTTGTTTTCAATTGACAACGGTAGATTTATATCGCCAAGAGTAACAGATAAATTCCAATAATTACAAGAAGTATCTTGAATGAGTCATTACATCCTGTGTATACAGTGGAGATATGTCATATATCGGTATTGATAGAAATGCATTTCTATTGTCGTTTAAGGATATCTCTTGTAGATAAATACAATTAAGTTGTCGCGTGGTAGTATTTATGATATTAATTGAAGACATCAATATGGATCTCGTTCAAGTTCGATGTAAATTTCCGACAGCAACTCATACCTACAAAGGAACACGTGGAAACGGGAGGGAACCTTTTGTATGCCATAGGACACATGGATATCACAGATAGGGCAAGTTGGGAAGTTACTATTGCAAATTGAAAATTCACAACAGACTACCGACCAATCATGTGTTTTATGGTAACGTAATGTTGACAAATTGACAGATTCATACCACGGTTTTGTTGGTGATTGAATACATAGACATACAACGTATATATAGTCTTCTCAGGACAAGGTAGTCATGTATGGTCAATAGTATAACGTGTACCTACAACAGGGTAGTAGTCATGTATGGTCAATAGTATGACGTGTACCTACAACAGGGTAGTAGTCATGTATGGTCAATAATATAACGTGTACCTACAACAGGGTAGTCATGTATGGTCAATAGTATAACGTGTACCTACAACAGGGTAGTCATGTATGGTCAATAGTATAACGTGTACCTACAACAGGGTAGTAGTCATGTATGGTCAATAGTATAACGTGTACCTACAACAGGGTAGTAGTCATGTATGGTCAATAGTATAACATGTACCTACAACAGGGTAGTAGTCATGTATGGTCAATAGTATAACGTGTACCTACAACAGGGTAGTCATGTATGGTTAATAGTATAACGTGTACCTACAACAGGGTAGTCATGTATGGTCAATAGTATAACGTGTACCTACAACAGGGTAGTCATGTATGGTTAATAATACTGGTGTATTGGTACACTTTACAGGTAAAATGTACATAATTGATAGTGGTAGGTACCTACACTAAAATTTCTGTCAGTAATTGTTTATAAGTCTCTTGGACGACAGGGAAACGTTATCAATTAATTAACTTTTGCTGTTGAATGCAATGGTTTAAATTACTATTTAGAATACATTATCAGGTATTTATATATTCTTTCCCAAGGTACACACGTGTTTTATTTTAGGAAATAACATCTTGTTGAAATATATAATAGTCGGTATACACAAATAAATGGATTACGAAGAGGCGTGGTCTTAGTGGCAAAGACACAAACATTTTAGCTCAATTGTTTAAAAACTTTCTCATAAAATTCAGTAAATAAAACGTCATTATTTACATCAAACGTACATCAAAACACACATCAAAACAAAACGCTGTCCTTTAAAAATTGAGCAGACATTCTATCCACAAGATGGAACAGTTTTCATGGCTCAGTGATCTCCCGTGCTCTATTTAAGGTCGATATCCACCTTCATGAAACGAGACATAGTGTGATCAGAGAAGTGCATTGTATGTACCTAGCTATTTACGGGTAACATCGCCTCTGCCATGCCGTTTCCACGTAAGTACATGTACCTGTTTATCTATTCGTGACGGTGCTGCAAATGGCTATATTTATAAATAGATTAATTTAAGAATAATACATTTCAGAAATTAAAACAGATGCTAAACTTTACGTCAAATATATATTATAAACATCTTTTATTTTCTAAATCTGACATCTTATATATTTGATAAACGTAAGCGGGTAGCTTCAGAGTCAGATACATAACAAGCAAATCAAATTAAGTTTACCAGGTGCTGTATTGTTTCATCCAAACAAACAATAGAATCGGTAGCAAAACACATATAACACAACATATTTTAACATGTACAAACAATTGTTTATAACATAAAATGCTATGTTATCAATAAAGCGGAATCATTGTGCAAGTTTCAATCTCTGACGTAAAACATGTCCAATAGGTTTAAAGGACACGTTTATTTTTAACTTGTTTAATCCTACCCATTTCATCCTTCAAGTTATGGTACTTCATTTTGCGTGTAATATGTATATATTTCCACACCTTGTCTGTTATAGCTTATTTTGAATAAACACACTATGACACACTAAATGTGTAATGCATGGAACGTGTTAAGTTACATTTTAGGTTTAGGACATCATAGAAGTGGGTGGCATACTTCTATAAGGACGGCACAAAAGCTTTACATTTATATAATTTGATACGGGATGCTCACAAACCCAAATCACGCTAACGTGACCCTAACCTGAAACCTACGGTATGTATCATTTCATACAAAAGCTAGAAACATGTCTATCTCCCGTCACACATATTTCGAACATTCAAGTTGAGAATGTAACTTCAACGTTTAATACATATTATAACGCGTTCACTGATATATGTAAATAAAATCATAAATTAAGAATACATTTTGGAGTGAGATTAAAAAAAATAAAGTTCTATACAGGATACGACTTTAAATTGTTTGATGCTCAGTAATATACCTGTTGGTTCCGTTGTGTTTACCGTGTTTGATGCTCTGTCATATACCTGTTGGTTCCGCTGTTGTTTACCGTGTTTGATGCTCTGTCATATACCTGTTGGTTCCGTTGTGTTTACCGTGTTTGATGCTCTGTCATATACCTGTTGGTTCCGTTGTGTTTACCGTGTTTGATGCTCTGTCATATACCTGTTGGTTCCGTTGTGTTTACCGTGTTTGATGCTCTGTCATATACCTGTTGGTTCCGTTGTGTTTACCGTGTTTGATGCTCTGTCATATACCTGTTGTTTCTGTTGTGTTTACCGTGTTTGATGCTCTGTCATATACCTGTTGGTTCCGTTGTGTTTACCGTGTTTGATGCTCTGTCATATACCTGTTGGTTCCGTTTCTGTTGTGTTTACCGTGTTTGATGCTCTGTCATATACCTGTTGGTTCCGTTGTGTTTACCGTGTTTGATGCTCTGTCATATACCTGTTGGTTCCGTTGTGTTTACCGTGTTTGATGCTCTGTCATATACCTGTTGTTTCTGTTGTGTTTACCGTGTTCTCATTTGGAAATGTGATATTTCTTATATTAATTGATGACGATTAACATGGCGGGTGTCGTCGATGACGCAGAAGATGATTACCTGTCCGAAACGCCTGGTCTTATTTTTTTAGTTCTCTTTTAGGAGTTTAAACAGCATTACCATAGTTATTATATTCATTCATTGGTTTCCGTTATCAATCCCGCTGTTTACTTTTATGATAATAACGTGTCATAAATGTGATAGTAATAATAACAAATCAGTCCCCTTGTGAGAGCAAACAGAATGCCCAAGGAAATCACTATCTGTGTCCATTGTATTTCTCTGATGGAGTGTTATTATGCTCATTCTGAATTTCGGGAATACAATGTTTGTCAAAGTATTGTTTTCCCTAGGTTTTCGTAAACAAAACTAGACTTTGTGATGACTATCTGATAACACGATATGTTGATTCCACAAGCATAAAATTATATTGCACATTTACATATCCTTCTCAACATTACTTACCCAGTATTTCGTGATTATTCTAGGAGGAGAAATCTACCTTGCGTCTTTGACAATATGTTCTGACTTGAGACCCATTGTTGTGAAAACAGGATTTCTTACAATGCTTTTAAATCCATGGATTCAGTTTGTTTTGTGATACAACTAATATTTACAATAGAAATATTCATTAAATAGCATTTATTTTTGTTTATTGATTAAACATTGACAGAAGATGCAGTCGTTTGAATCTGCTGTGAAATTGTGTTATCTTGCCCAGAGTACTGTACCCATAATCGTGATTTTCCCCAAATATACAATATTGGTATTTCACATTTTGCAGCCCATTATCTGAGTTTTTTCTGCGACGTATCTGACAGTGCGTGAACACGCTCCACTTACAACGACAAATAAAGAACTGTTCGTTAGAAGTTAGCGTCGTCATTTTTATCTGCAAAATCGTTACAAAATTTGCATGTTCACAACATTTTAGACTGAAAAAATATGTCTTGCAGCACCATGCCCTTTGTACATAGACCAATCCAGTTATTTGTAGACCTTTGAGACAAAAGTAAGTTGTTAATATAGAAAGTCTAGCGGTTAGATAGATAATTTATGGAAAGCAAAACTTTAAGATAAAAATCTAAATCGATGAAGAAGACAAATATTTACACGGAGACCAGTGAAGAAAAAAGTAGCCTCCCGGAAGGGTAAGAGCCTTCTGCTCTTGTGTACTCTTCCGGAACACCTGGTCTTATTCTCTTGGTGCTTTTTCAGGAGTCTCCGTGTGAATCTTTCTTTTGTTCATATTTTGTCCTAGTTTTATTTACTTGGAATTTAGATCATGATTATGTTGATATGTTGTTATTTTCTTGTTTTTCCCCTTGTAATATAAATCACGTACTTTCGCGGGATTTAAATATTGTTTTTTCGTCGGCACTTAATTTTTAGAATAATAAGTATTCCAGAAAGTAGCTAGAAATGTTTTAATACTGAACATTTAAATGCCTGACATGATTTTGATTCACCCGATAAACTGGTGTTCTGGCTTCAGCTGATTGATTGATAGACATCATATTACAATGGATTGTATACTCACAAACGTACCACATTGGTAAATATCTTTCTCCAACCTTCATATACTCACAAACGTACCACATTGGTAAATATCTTTCTCCGTCTTCATATACTCACAAACGTACCACATTGGTAAATATCTTTCTCCGTCTTCATATACTCACAAACGTACCACATTGGTAAATATCTTTCTCCAACCTTCATATACTCACAAACGTACCACATTGGTAAATATCTTTCTCTAACCTTCATATACTCACAAACGTACCACATTGGTAAATATCTTTCTCCAACCTTCATATACTCACAAACGTACCACATTGGTAAATATCTTTCTCCAACCTTCATATACTCACAAACGTACCACATTGGTAAATATCTTTCTCCAACCTTCATATACTCACAAACGTACCACATTGGTAAATATCTTTCTCCAACCTTCATATACTCACAAACGTACCACATTGGTAAATATACTTTCTTTCTCCATATACTCACAAACGTACCACATTGGTAAATATCTTTCTCCAACCTTCATATACTCACAAACGTACCACATTGGTAAATATCTTTCTCCAACCTTCATATACTCACAAACGTACCACATTGGTAAATATCTTTCTCCGTCTTCATATACTCACAAACGTACCACATTGGTAAATATCTTTCTCCAACCTTCATATACTCACAAACGTACCACATTGGTAAATATCTTTCTCCAACCTTCATATACTCACAAACGTACCACATTGGTAAATATCTTTCTCCGTCTTCATATACTCACAAACGTACCACATTGGTAAATATCTTTCTCCGTCTTCATATACTCACAAACGTACCACATTGGTAAATATCTTTCTCCAACCTTCATATACTCACAAACGTACCACATTGGTAAATATCTTTCTCCAACCTTCATATACTCACAAACGTACCACATTGGTAAATATCTCTCCAACCTTCCTATACTCACAAACGTACCACATTGGTAAATATCTCTCCAACCTTCATATACTCACAAACGTACCACATTGGTAAATATCTTTCTCCGTCTTCATATACTCACAAACGTACCACATTGGTAAATATCTCTCCAACCTTCATATACTCACAAACGTACCACATTGGTAAATATCTTTCTCCGTCTTCATATACTCACAAACGTACCACATTGGTAAATATCTTTCTCCGTCTTCATATACTCACAAACGTACCACATTGGTAAATATCTTTCTCCGTCAAACGTACCACATTGGTAAATATCTTCATATATATACTCACAAACGTACCACATTGGTAAATATCTTTCTCCAACCTTCATATACTCACAAACGTACCACATTGGTAAATATCTTTCTCCGTCTTCATATACTCTACCACATTGGTAAATATCTTTCTCCATACTTCATATACTCACAAACGTACCACATTGGTAAATATCTTTCTCCAACCTTCATATACTCACAAACGTACCACATTGGTAAATATCTTTCTCCAACCTTCATATACTCACAAACGTACCACATTGGTAAATATCTTTCTCCAACCTTCATATACTCACAAACGTACCACATTGGTAAATATCTTTCTCCGTCTTCATATACTCACAAACGTACCACATTGGTAAATATCTCTCCAACCTTCCTATACTCACAAACGTACCACATTGGTAAATATCTTTCTCCGTCTTCATATACTCACAAACGTACCACATTGGTAAATATCTTTCTCCAACCTTCATATACTCACAAACGTACCACATTGGTAAATATCTTTCTCCGTCTTCATATACTCACAAACGTACCACATTGGTAAATATCTTTCTCCAACCTTCATATACTCACAAACGTACCACATTGGTAAATATCTTTCTCCAACCTTCATATACTCACAAACGTACCACATTGGTAAATATCTTTCTCCGTCTTCATATACTCACAAACGTACCACATTGGTAAATATCTTTCTCCGTCTTCATATACTTACATATACTTCACAAACGTACCACATTGGTAAATATCTTTCTCCGTCCTTCATATACTCACAACATTGGTAAATATCGTACCACATTGGTAAATATCTTTCTCCGTCTTCATATACTCACAAACGTACCACATTGGTAAATATCTTTCTCCAACCTTCATATACTCACAAACGTACCACATTGGTATATCTTTCTCCGTCTTCATATACTCACAAACGTACCACATTGGTAAATATCTTTCTCCAACCTTCATATACTCACAAACGTACCACATTGGTAAATATCTTTCTCCGTCTTCATATACTCACAAACGTACCACATTGGTAAATATCTTTCTCCTCACAAACGTACCACATTGGTAAATATCTTTCTCCGTCTTCATATACTCACAAACGTACCACATTGGTAAATATCTTTCTCCAACCTTCATATACTCACAAACGTACCACATTGGTAAATATCTTTCTCCGTCTTCATATACTCACAAACGTACCACATTGGTAAATATCTTTCTCCAACCTTCATATACTCACAAACGTACCACATTGGTAAATATCTTTCTCCATATATACTCACAAACGTACCACATTGGTAAATATCTTTCTCCAACCTTCATATACTCACAAACGTACCACATTGGTAAATATCTCTCCAACCTTCATATACTCACAAACGTACCACATTGGTAAATATCTTTCTCCGTCTTCATATACTCACAAACGTACCACATTGGTAAATATCTTTCTCCAACCTTCATATACTCACAAACGTACCACATTGGTAAATATCTTTCTCCGTCTTCATATACTCACAAACGTACCACATTGGTAAATATCTTTCTCTAACCTTCATATACTCACAAACGTACCACATTGGTAAATATCTTTCTCCGTCTTCATATACTCACAAACGTACCACATTGGTAAATATCTTTCTCTAACCTTCATATACTCACAAACGTACCACATTGGTAAATATCTTTCTCGACAATACTCACAAACGTACCACATTGGTAAATATCTTTCTCCAACCTTCATATACTCACAAACGTACCACATTGGTAAATATCTTTCTCCGTCTTCATATACTCACAAACGTACCACATTGGTAAATATCTTTCTCCGTCTTCATATACTCACAAACGTACCACATTGGTAAATATCTTTCTCCGTCTTCATATACTCACAAACGTACCACATTGGTAAATATCTTTCTCCAACCTTCATATACTCACAAACGTACCACATTGGTAAATATCTTTCTCCAACCTTCATATACTCACAAACGTACCACATTGGTAAATATCTTTCTCCGTCTTCATATACTCACAAACGTACCACATTGGTAAATATCTTTCTCCGTCTTCATATACTCACAAACGTACCACATTGGTAAATATCTTTCTCCGTCTTCATATACTCACAAACGTACCACATTGGTAAATATCTTTCTTTCTCCAACCTTCATATACTCACAAACGTACCACATTGGTAAATATCTTTCTCCGTCTTCATATACTCACAAACGTACCACATTGGTAAATATCTTTCTCCGTCTTCATATACTCACAAACG